AAGTACAAGCTTGTTTTCTATTCTAGGTTTAGATTATGCCTCTTCCCCAGGGCTGGGACTAAGGTGCGCAAAGAAGAGGTCAAAGCCACAACATTTAAGGAGGTGCAACCATGAAGATGAGCACCTTAAATTTTGCACCTTCCCCCTCTCCCTTGTCCTACCCTAGTCCAGACCCTACTTTTCTCCATTTATCTCCTCAAATGAGTTTCTGTTTAGGGTTTAAATTTCCAGGTCATGGTGATGAGGGCAGGACTGAGGGAAAGCTTGCAGAGAGAGTCCTTTCTCCACCCAGAGAAAAGGAGTGATCCCCTCTGGTCACTGTGATTTGAGAATTTTCACCATGCTATACTCAGGCTCACATCTCTCAACTTTGGTGTGTTGGCACTGAGCACAGAGGGCTCTTCCAAGTTGTGTCCAGGGCAACTGGTGCTAAGTTACCTTCACAAGAAATCTGATGCGTCCTTGGACAAGGGTAACATGTGTTCCATTAAGCAATGTTTCACATTGAAAAAATAAATCCCAACCTGTCTCCACAGGACAAATATTACAAATTTGTACAACTCTTTTTTGGCTAACCAAATGCCACTGGGCCAACTGAGTCAAGATGAGCTCCTTCGGGGAAAATGGTGTCTTCTCATCGCTCTGCGTCCAGGCACCTACCAACATAGCAGGTGTTTCGTAAATGCCCATATGAATGAAGAAACACCATGCACATCAGGAATTAATCCTCGGCATCTCAGGGCCTAGGCCCTTTAAGTACCAGAAAGGGCAGAGCCAGGAATCTGCCCAGTGATTTAAACACCAACCACTGCCACTTCCTCTCTGCGAAAACCAATTGTTCCTCTGGCTTGTGCTGACGTGCTCTGGTCCACGTCCTGTTTTGTGAGAGGCTGGGTTTCTAGCTCTCCCCTCAGTTCTCACTGCCTGGCGTGATTTTCACCCTCTTCTAGTGCTATCCTTCCCGAGAGACCTGTTTCCACTGGCACAGCCCCGGCAGAAGCGGCCTCAGCAACTCTGACCAGGAGCTTCCCGTGATCCTTCTTGTCCTGCCTCCTGTCTGGCAACCATACGTGCTGACTGCTGCCTTGGAACAGTTCGAACAAATTGTTCTAGTGAAGAACTCTACTGACAAATGCAGAGACCTGGCACCATGCTCAGCTGCCATCTTGAGATCTCCAGCCACACACATGAGCTCCACCCAGCAAGCGCTGCCCAGCGCCCTGCTGCCACCTCCTGGGGGTGGCTGATCCTCCTCTGCTCCTTGGACCTTGGGGCCTGCTCTCCGCAACCTGCTCTAACAAGCCCCTGACAGCCTCTGTGCACTATCAGACACAGTATGAGTGGGAAGAGTATTATTTTAAGACGGTGATGTGGGCCTCGTAGACTATTACACAGGTAAGTAATTAAAATGAGACAAATGCCTGTCTCCCACTGACATGCAAAGAAGCTGGAGCCAGGGGAGATGGAGTTGACCCGAGAGCACTCACGAGTACATGCACTGGGCATGTGTACATTTCACTCGGCAGGTGAAAATCTGTCCAAGTTCAAATTTGGTGCCGTCAGGAACAGCGGAGCACCTCTAGCCTCCCTCTGGCGCTCTGTGCTACAGCTCCTTTGGGAAACATACCAAAATAACATCTATTTTCTTCTTCACTGTCAGTGAGTAAATGGTGACATTTCTTTCTAAGGAAACTGGAAAAATTTAAATGAGGGACCATTTTATTCAGCTTGACACCCCAGTTATTTTAGTTTATAAGAATTAGACAGACATATGGAATGTTTGAGATACAACCAAGGTTATCAATAAATCACAGTTTAAGAGTTCTGCTGCTTTTCCCATGTCTAAGTTCCCAGAGTCAGCATGGAAGCTGCGGTCAAGTGGAAATAGCCACCCATTCAACGGTGGGGCGGTGACCTTTCGGATAGGCAGATGGCCAGAGACATTAAGAGCTTTAAAAATATCTAAGTCATTGGGATAAATTATTTCACTAATAAGAATCTATTCTGAAAAAGTAACTAGAAAGCCAAAGATTTCCAAAGAAAATATTTCAATGAAACTTTTGAATATGATAGTGACCACTAGAGAACAAACGCAATGTCCAACACCAAGAGAATGGTTAAATAATGATACACACAATAGAGTCACAGAGAGTCATTATAAGCATGCTTTTCAGGTCTAATAACATGGGAAAATATTCCAGTTATAATATTATGTGAAGAAAACAGGAGAATACAAAGTTGTATATGCAGTATGATTTAAGTCACATTAAAATAACCCCTTGTATAGGAAAAAAAGGCAAAATGGAAATGCACTAAAACATAAACACTGTTTATCTCTGGGTGATGAGATAGTGGATGAGTTTGTTTTTCTGTTTCTAGGTGATAGTGTAATAAGTGAGTTAGTAATTACTTTTTGTTTTCCTAGCATCAACAAAACAGGACAATACCTAGTGCTTTAGAAATTGTCGCCCACGGAAGATCCAAGAACAAAGATTCCAAAAGAAATGACTCTAGTCTAATACAGAAATGCTCGGAAAGGATGCTCAAACAGAACTTGCCTTCTCCACCCGCCCTCAGATCGGGATGGCAATAGAACCACCCCAAGAACAGTGTGGAAATCCCAGAACAGAGGGGTCGTGGACCTCACCCCGGGGTGGGAGAGGAAAGGGGGCACACAGATGGCGTGGGAAAATAGCACAGCGTGGGGAGCAGTCCCCTGAGTAGCAGGTGGCAGCAGGGAAGTCATGGGCCATGACTGCAGAGGGTGCATAGGCAGATGGGCGTGAGGCAGCTTTATGAAGTCCCCCACACTGTGGGGGGGCACATTAGCTACATTTTCTCAAGTTTAAGGAAAGAGTGGCACTTAGGTGAGAGAAGGCCTGTAGTCTAGAAAGGGTCCCACAGCTGAGATAAGGGGACTCCTGACTGGGGATGCAGGAGGACTTTTTCCTATGGACTGGATGGGGCAAGCAGCTCCTGAGCTCATGGGTGGACATGCCAGGTGGCCGTGACTAAGGACAGATGAGACAGATGATGCCAGCACAGGTCCGCAGGCTGACTAAGAAAAAGAATGCCCCTTTCTGCCTTTGTCTAGACTGGTATTTGTGTAAGTCACCCCCTCCCCACTTCAGGCTTGCTTTTAACCCCCGAGGGGAGGAGAAGCATGAGGAGCAAACCATCCTCGGCGGGACTGGGCTGCAACCCAAGTGTCTGGGAAAACAGGTTGCATGGAAGCGATGAAATTTTCACAAGAGAGGGCTCAGAGTCAGAAACCCAGTTGTGTGGTGGAAACTAGCTATATTTCATATACCCGAGCTTATTAAATATGAAATATTCACTCACTGCATATATTTTTGTGACTTTCAGATTTTTCACTAATGACCACAGTGTGTATTTAAAAGATTAAAAAAAAAAAAAAAAAGAAATGCATCCACAAAAACTTGCTCATGAGTCAAGACCCTGAAGAAAATGGGGCAAAGGCTGAGGGAAAGGCGCCCCTGGTTCTGGGACTCATCTTGGACAGAGCTCGTTTTGTATCTCTAAGAGCCAGGATCTCCCTCCCAAGAGAACCTGGAATCCTGACCACACCTCGGAACTTCTGCCATTGAGATTCTGTGTTCAAGTAGGAGCAGCTGGGAGTCGATGTGACACCAGTCCTTCTAGCTGCTTCCTGTGCCTCACCACACCCCCGTCTCCCTCCCTCCCCCAGCAAATCAATATTAGTAAGCTCCCCTGTAGAAGGCCCTTTCTATTTTTTAAACCAGGTTTTGTTCTCTGAAGCAATAGCAAACAACAGAACAAATCCACCCCCACACAACGATGACCTCTTAATGTTTGAGGAACATCTTGGTCTGCATGTTAGGGCTTCCTTTTTTCTGGCTAAACCAGGACAGGTCCTCACATGATATTTTCCAAGCCTCTTGCTACCCTGCTCACCTCCTTGGAAGTTACACCTGGGATTGTTCAGGGCCACTTAAAATGAAACCAACAGTGTGGCCCTGTGCTCTGGCCAGAAAGACTTATGCTAACTCTGCTAAGGCTTCGAAGGATGTTTAGGAGGCAAGTTCTTAGCGGCTCCTCGGGTGTCTCAGCCTGCAGTGGGAGACAAACCCAGAGGTTGCCAAATGAGTGGCTGCTAGCCCGGGGCTCCCTTCTGCTGCACTTATGCACTTGCTAGAGGCTAGAACTGCAGGCAGCACAGGGCCACTGGTGCCAATGACACCCAGGAGACCCAGGTCAGTGCTGTCACCTACAGGGCCCTGGCAGGGGGGTCTGGAGATAAGAGCATGAGGGAGCACAAAACTCCATATTGCTGGCCATGGCCTTCCCCGGCTCAGCTGCAGGAATCCCCTCTTCTCACCCTCATTTCCCACTTTAGGCAGAAATATCTCCCTTCTTTCCTCTTAAGGATCTTACCTGATTATCTTGGCATGTCCATAGCCCTCCCTTCCCACTCTAGATCATCTGTACATCGGTGGGCCTTGTCCTTCAGGATCCCTCTTAGAGGAGATAACACTTCCTGACATTAGAGGATTTTATCAAATTGCTACTCATCCTCCCTTTCCCCTCACAGACCCCAAGGTGTGCTCCCTCTGCTGTCAAACCCAGGCTCCAGGCTGGCTGTGCCAGCCGGCCTCGCCTCCATGCACACCTCATCCCCTCGGCCTCCTCTCTTTGCTGCTGTTACCATGTTCCAAGCTGACTTTGTAGCATTGCCCCCACATGCCGCCACCACCCCATTCCCAGAGACATTGATTTGGCAGATTTCTTGGGGGCCAGCAATGTCCTAACTTGTTTGTTTTTCCAGGGCTGATGTTTGCAGGAATTTTCTTGGAAACACAACAGAAATCATCTCACGTTCTTATGCAATTTTCCCATGAGGCTTAGACAGATAAATAAAGCCCTGGCCCCTCCACTGGTCTACCTTCCCCAGCAGAGCACCTGAGTTTCTCCTGAAGCCTCCAGCACTTGCCCATCTTCAGGGCCTCTCTGGAGCAGCCATGAAGTCCCTCGTCCTGGTCTTTTGTCTTGCTCAGCTCTGGGGCTGCCACTCTGCCCCGCCTGCCATAGGTCCGGCTTATAGGGAACTGAACTGTGATGACCCAGAAACAGAGCAAGCAGCCCTGGTGGCCGTGGACTACATCAATAAGCACCTTAGTCGGGGCTACAAGCACACCTTGAACCAGATTGACAAAGTGAAAGTGTGGCCTCGGGTAAGTGAACCTGCCGCGTATGAGCTGAAATAACCTGTTTGTGGAACTTAACTGTGTGTCTCAGAAGATCACATCTCCCAGCACAGAAGAATCTGCAGAGGGGTAACTCTGATTTCTTCCTGAGAGTGAGGGAGGGGACAGGTGCAGGGCAAGAGAGAATACCTCCTGTTCTGTAGTCACGGGTCTCCTGGGAAGTGCTGGAGGTTGGGGAGATTTGTAGGAGGAGAAAAAAATATTTTAAAAAACAAAGGTAGAAAGTGCGGCTTGCTAGAAAAACCAGGGTGCAAAAGACTGAATTCTAGTTGCCAAATTATCACTAACTGAAAAGCACTTATCTTTCTTTGCTTCTGTTATCTCTGGATGAAGACTGAGAGTGAATGGAACTAGCAGTTGACAACTTACCTACTATATGCCAGGCCCTTTCACATGTATTATCTGCTCAACTCCCCCCACCCCCCAGTTCTGTGTGGCAGGTATTGTCCTTGTCTTATATAAGACAAAACCAAGGAGCTGACAAATTAGGGCTCTTTACCCCCTCCCCTGAGATCATATAATTAGTACACATTGGTATGTGATTCAATTTCAGAACTGTGTTCTTTCCTCTACACAAGCTGCTTTCCAGATCCCACATTCCAGAGAGGTCTTGGTGTGAACAAGATTTACTTCTTCACATGCTAGACAAGAAACCACTGCAGTCAGTGACAATAAAGATCAAGCTAGAAAAGATGCCTTGGGGATTAGTTGAGAGGTCTGGAGAGGTAGGGGAAAAGGCATCTGTCGACTCTTTTGAAGTTAGATTGTATATCTGATGAGTACAATCCTTCTGTGGGCAAGAACCAGTGTCAGTAGGTTGAACTATAGTTGGTTGAACCATATGAAATTGCCATTTTTGTATATTAAAAGCAGGCAAATGTTGACATTTTAAGGGTTCAACCCAATACAAAGGTAAGAAAAGACAAAGTTAGTACCCACAAGAGGTTAGAATCTGGAAGGGATAATAGGGTAAGCAACAAGATGTCCAAACTGACTAACATCTGATTCCCTAATGGGACAAAATATCTAAAATCAGGATCATCCCAGATGAATTTTAGGAGCTCCGCTACCATACTGAAGTACAGAGGAAACACTGATCAATTCAGGGGGAATAACACACAATGTGCAGATACAAGGAAAAGGTAATGAACAGACATTGTGGTTTTCACTAAAGGTGGAGCTTGAGAATTACTTTCCTTGAGGACCCCAGGAGTGCATGGCTCCTGTTCCCTGCAGCTCTGAGTGTTTTCAAGAAGTTAACTTGGGCACATCTGCACATCATAAAACACAGCTTTCTCCTGGAAAGGAGATTCCAAGGCTTCGGGTACTAGTGAGTATGGCAGAACAGAAATAAGAGGCAAGAAGTACTGGGGTGAGATTATTTTAAAAGGCATACTCGTACTTTCTTGATTTTTTAGGCCTAAAAGAAAGGATATAGAAACAGGTGAACGGGCAAGAACAATTCCATGGAGTTATACAAGCTCTCCTATCACTACCTCCCCCACTGCTCCTTCTGGTCTATGATAGTGACTTACTGCTTTCTCTGTTCAAGGGGCTCCTCTTCCTCTCACCACCAGCAGGGGGCAGTAGAGGGCAGCAACTTTGCATCAGGCATTTATTTACAAGCCAAAGACAAAAGCCAAGGACTTTTCCTTTAGGAAGGAAAAGGAAATGAGGAAGGAAGGAAAGCAGATGATGAGAGGGAAGGCAAAAATAAGTAGACGGAGGGATGGTGAAGATAGAGTAGAGACAGTAAGATATTATCCTACAGAACCTTACTTTGCTGCTTAACTGAGAAAAATCCAAAGCTGACTTTTTCAAAGCAGGCTTGAAGGGAGAAATTTTAAAAATTAATTGTCAGCACTCATTTTTAGCTTCCAAATAGAGCTCTGAGTGATGACTGTCCCAACTCGTGCCCCCTTCTTGGTAAACACCCTTGAGCACCTGCCCAGATAACAGAGGAGGACCAGGAAGCCCTTTTGTGGTCCCACCCACAGGGCAGGGCAGAGCTGGGTGGAGCTGCAGACTAGTAGAAATGACTTCCTTCTCTTCTCCAACAGGGGGTGGGTTCAAGCCCAGTGAGGGCTCACACTTTGGCCTGATCATCAGAAACAGGGCAATACACTGCTCACTTCTTCGTTCTGTGTCTCCACAGAGGCCCATGGGAGAGGTGTTTGAGATGGAAATAGACACGCTGGAAACCACCTGCCACGCACTGGACCCCACCCCCGTGGTCAACTGCTCTGTGCGGCAGCTGACGCAGCACGTGAGTGGAACACTTAGGGTGGCTGCAGGTAGTGGCCCAGCCAGTTCCACCTGGTTCTGCATAAAGCAGGCCCATGTATCCAGCTGCCCAACCTGCCCTCAAGACTAGCCAGTGTGCAGTTGCTAAAACTGCCATTTGAAGCCACATTTCCTGGGACCGATTTTTGCAACAGTTCAGCTTTCTTGTTGTAGCCCTCTCAGTAATCAGAGAGTGTAATGTGTCAATATCACCCAGGGAAGGTGATTTTTTGAGGCTTGCCTTTGACAACCATGCCTGAGGGACCCACCCCTCCCCGGGTGAGAAGTGAAAGCCAGCCCTCCTCCAAGGCCCTCACTGTGGGTTTATTTCTCTAGGCTGTGGAAGGAGACTGTGATTTCCGTGTGCTGAAACAGGACGGCCAGTTTCACGTGTTGTTTGCAAAATGTGATTCCAGTCCAGGTAGAGATGATCCTTCTTATTTTGACCTTGTAGAGAGAACAAGTAAGGAGCCTGCATTGTTACCAACGTGAATAGTTCTGGTCACTGATGGCGAGGAAAAGACGCCAAATTTCATGGGTTCTGGGATTGTAGAACTGTTTTAGGGAGCTGTTCTTATTGGAGGTGAAAATTGCCCCCGGATGAGAGGGGCTCCTACAGAAATGTCAGCATGACAGGAACCACTTGAAGGTTTAATAAGAAGCAGAGAAAACGCCTAAAACCATTTGGATCAAGTCCTAGCCCTTTCCACGCAAGCAGAGCCGGGGTGAATGCCGCGGAGAATTACAACCCTGACGCGTTTCTTCTCTCTCTGCCTAGACTCGGCGGAGGACGTGCTAAAGGTGTGCCCAGACTGCCCCCTGCTGGCTCCGCTTAACAGCACCAAGGTGGTGCACGCTGCAGAGGCCGCACTACGCACTTTCAATGCTCATAGTAATGGCTCCTACTTTCAGCTTGTGGACGTTTCCCGGGCTCAACTTGTGGTAAGACTGAGACCTTTTGACAAATTGGGCAGTTTGGTGGCACTTCAGGGATGCCAGTGGTGAAGGAGCAGTGAGAGACAGAGCAGGTGTAGGGGCAGCAACGGGAAGGCAAGGAGGATAGTGGGAAAAAAGGAAGAAAGTCCTGAAAGGTATGAGGACCCTGAGTGTCATGTGGACCCAAAGAACTCTCAGTGCGTCCTCCATGCTGAGCCACTCGAACATGAGACGGCCAGATGCTGTCTGTCCCCAGTTCTCAGTTCTAGTTAACACCAGGGCTCTCTGTTCAGTGGGTGGAAGTTCCCACATTATACACAAGCACTCACTGGAAATTCATGCATCTCCACATCTTTATCATCTGTCACCACTACCATCTGCAGCACTTCCATAACTGATACTTATAAAGGCATGGGCTTAACTCACACAGACAGGCATATGATGGCAGGATCCTAAAATGCCTTCTACATCACTGAAGAAAATCTAATTATACTGTAGGTAGTTTAGCACATTTGAATGCAACAGAGTCCTAATATTTTTAAAAACTGATATTCTGGACATTAGCCATGGAATACTTGGACATGCACTGTTTGGCGGTAATTCTATTAACCAGAAAATGTACATCTCAGGGCACCCTCACCCTCAGACGATATCAAATAACAGGTGTTTTATAAGAAATATAAGAAAGAAAAGCATGAGTATCTTCCATATGTTCATTTCTATTTTCCATTTGATCCTGCTCGCTACAATTGGGAGAGGTGTTAATTGATCTCTTTACTTTCCTGCTCCACCTTGGAGTAACCTGAACTTTGGGTCTCAAAGTGCAGTCCCAATAGGAAAGGCTGGGGTGGAGGAGGTCAGTGTAAGGTTGGCCTCTGGGCTCCTGCTTCCTATTTGAAAACTCACTCTGCCCTGAGTGATGGGCAGTGGATACCTGCACCTCTTTCAGGGGAGATCCACCCCCGAATTCTGTATACAGCACTTCAGAACATGAGGCTACAAAAACCACCTTATACAAGCGATCGGGCCATCATTTCTAGGTACTCACTGGGGTGTGTGCCAGGGCTCTCCCTGAGGTGTGCAATGATGTGGCCCTTCCCTCCAGCCTCTCCTTCCCTGCCTTTTTCATGCCAAGTTGTGTTGCTTCATGAGCATTTTCATTTATTCTCATCAGCCTCTTCCAGTTTCAACCTACGTGGAGTTTGCAGTGGCTGCCACTGACTGTGTTGCTAAAGAGGTCACAGACCCAGCCAAGTGTAACTTGCTGGCGGAACAGGTGAGCGGGCCAGGCCCTGAGAATGGCAAAGCTGGTCATAGGACAGAGCTTCCTTAGAGCAAGCCAGTATCTCTGGGCTGTGGAAAGGAGGTCACAATGCAAGATACCCGCTCCCTGTGGGGCTGGGTCATCCCAGGCCTTCCTCTGGGGTGCCAACTCCTCCCTTTAAGAGCTGTCACCAAATCATCTCACCTGCTGGAGGTCCCTGGCGTTGGGAAAAAACAGAGACTGTTTCTAACTAAGCCAAGTCCTGCCCAGTTACTGGGACTGAGAAGTGTAGATTTTCTAGATATACCTCTGATATGAAATCATAAGGTCTACTTCTAAGAATTTAGTCTAAAGAGAACATCAGAGATGTTTGACAGAAATATATCTATATACATATGAAACTAATACAAAATAATATTGAATATAAACTGTAACTGAAAAATAAAAATTTTTAAATAAATAAAAATAAAATTGTTTCATAATTTAAAAAAATATATATATAAAGATAATTTGTCATAGATACAAAATGACCCTCAAAAGATCTGAATGACTAACAGAGGAGAATCACTGAATAAAGTAATGGCACATCAGTAAATAGAAAATTATACAGACACTAAAAATTATGTTTTCAAGGAATAATGATGTAAGAACATGCTCTCATATTATAGTAAGTGAAAAACAGAATACAAAATGTAAGTCGCAATGATCCCAATTTTTAAATTATATTTAAGCAGTATTTTGAAATAAGAAAGAAATACATAGATGTTAATGGAAGCTCTCCTGAGTTACCACCATTTGGGGGATGCTGGATGATTTCTCCCACTTCCAAAGCATTTCTCTATTTTTCACATTGTATTATTATTATTATTATTATTATCCTCACCCGAGGACACTTTTGCATTTATCTTCAGATAATGGGAGGGAGAGAGGGGGGAAGAGAGAGAGCAAAACATCGATGTGAGAGAGACACATCGACTGGCGGCCACCCACACGACCCCAACCAGGGCCAGAGACAAACTGCAACTGAGATACGTCCCCTTAGTGGGAACTGAACCCGGGGACTCTAGTCCACAGGCCAACGCTCTAACTGTTGAGCCAAACCGGCCAGGGCTGTATTTTCCACATTCTATATAGAATTATATTTTATATATCTTCTGTAAGCAGAAACTACAAACTTTAGGAAAACTTTTTTAAAAAGAAATTAAGAATTCAAGGTTTACTTAATTTTGCCCTTTGACATGTTGTTGTATCAGTGAAACTGGGAGAGAAACCAAATAACTCCTGTCTTTCTGTGGCAGCAATATGGCTTCTGTAAGGCGACACTCACTGAGAAGGTCGGTGGGGAAGATGTTGCAGTGACCTGTGCAGTGTTTCAAACACAGGTAACGAAGTCATGGGTACACCTGTCCTCATCTTCAGAGTACAATGATCCCTTGACATATATGCAGTATTAGTAATTATAGGGCATTTGCTGCCCTGTCCCTCTGAGCCCTACAATGATAAGTAGCAGTGGGGTATGTGGAACCATCAACAAATGGAAGGGTATTTCAGCCATTCCTTCCCTGCCCATGAACTGCTACCTACAGGGTAGAACCATCCTAGTGGGTATATGACAAGGACACCTTTATATTTGTGGGGTTGGAGTTGGGGTTGGGGGTGGTTTTCTTAGTTGCAGAGACCAGGTGGCCAGATCTGCCCAGCGGCTCCCAGTGGCTGCAGGTGTAGATGACGAAGAGGGTGACACTGCTCACGAAAGTTAGCCATCACATGGGGAGCCTTTGCTCATGGGACATGTGCCAGTTCACAATCCCCAAGACAATTGGTGAGAAAGAGCTACCATAAGCCGGTTACCCTTCCTGCAGCTCTGATGACAACTCTTTCCACCAAGTTCTTTTGTTCTTTTTTAACCGATTCCTTGCAAATAGAAATTATTACTATGAGAGAATTGGGTGGGGTTCCACCCAGAACCTTGGGGGGTCTTGGCCGGGAAGAGAAAAATACCTAACTAACCTAAGGAAATGGTTTTCTCTCCAGCCCGTGTTACCACAACCTCAACCAGACACCAATGCACCTACCCCTGTGGGGGCCTCAGTTGTGCCTGCTCCTCCTCCAGCACCTATGGTGGTGGGACCCTTGGTGGTGGCAGCTCCCCAGCCAGTCTTGCCAGTGCACCGGGCACACTATGACCTTCGCCACACCTTCACAGGTGCAGCCTCAGTGGAGTCCGCCTCAGGAGAAGCATTCCAAGTGGGGAAAGCACCCAAGGTGGTGCAGCCTGGAGTGGTTGCTGCTGTCAGTCCAGTGGCCCCCCCTTGCCCAGGGAGAATCAGACACTTCAAGATCTAGAGGAAGGTCGGAGATGAGAAATATTGGTAGAGAGAACATAGTCGCCATTTTGTCCAAGTCTGAGTAGGGGTGGGACCTTGACTGCTATCAAAGCAAGTGCTTTTTGTGGTCTAGATTAATATCAAGTCTTAAATCACAACGTCTCTTCATTCTTCAGAAAACAGAAGCAGAGGGAATGATGGTTATGTTGATGAAAGGCGTAAGGCCAGCATCTTGATGGTCATTGTTTTGATCCTAAGCCGCCACCATTATGTTCTCTGCCTTCTTTGACCTCACAGAAACCATTGGAACTGTGACTTTGAGAGGTGCTCTTGTCAAGCTTATATCTGCTTGTTAATAAAAGTGTCTGAAGGACCTTCCTTAATAAAGAAGGTTCTAAGCAGAAATGTGGTCATGATTATTGCCTACTTCCTCCAAGCTCATGTGTATGCCCTGTCTTCCCAACAGCTAGCCCACAGGTGTCCCTAAGCAAAATCAAAGTGAAAATAGAGACAAAAAAGAACAAAAATCTACACTATTGCCCTGGCCGGTTTGGCTCAGCGGTTAGAGCGTCGGCCTGCGGTCCTGAGAGACCCGGGTTCGGTTCCCGCTAAGGGCGCGTACCTCGGTTGCAGTTTGTCCCCGGCCCTGGTCAGTTGTGCGGGTGGCAGCCACTTGATGTGTTCCTTTCACGTCGATGTTTCTCTCTCTCTCTCTGTTCCTCTCTCTCCCTCCCACTCTACCTGAACAAAAAATGGAAAAATGTCCTCGGGTGAGGATAAAAAAATAAAAAAAATCTACACTATTACTATACACAGAAAAAAATGAGACTAGAATCTGCTCAAAACCCATAGGATAGGCCCATTTCCTTATGATAGGCCCATTTCATTTCATAAAAGTAAAAAATATTGCTAAAAGAGGACCAAGTGTCTTAACTTTGTGCAGACCAACCATTGTTTTCCCCAGTACCCAGGTAATTCACATAGGAACCTCACTTTAATTTATTATTTATGTTTAAAGTAACGTCTGAGCCCTGGCCAGTTTTGCTCAGGGGTTAGAGCATCGGCCTGCAGACCAAAGAGTCACAGGTTCAATTCTACTCAAGGGCACATACCCTGCAGTTTGGTGCCTGGCCCTGGTTGGGGTTGTGTGGGAGTCAACCAGTCAATGTGTGTCTCTCACATCAGTGTTTGTATCTCTCTCTCTCCCTCCTCCCTCCCACTCTATCTGAATATAGATGAAAAAGTATCCTCAGGTGAGGATTAAAAAAATAATAAAGTAACTATTGATTGTACTGTATACACTTTATGTTATGATGATTAGAGGAGGGCTACCTAGACAGGTAAATTTAGTGGACATTTATAGACACTGTTAAAGTGCTCAGATGATGTAAATGAATAAACAATTTTTATTATAGAATGGTGCCTAGACTATTTCAATTTTTGTCTGCTAACATTAGGTTGTCAGGGCCCTTTCATATGGAATTTTAAAGGGACAGGACTAACAACCAGTCAGTGGCTTCACTTGAACCAAGAAGACTGAATCAAGCACTGACCCTCACCTTATCAAAACCTGGAGGTTTTGTTGATGTTCCAGTACTGAGAAGGAATGGCCAGGAAGGTAGGAAAACCAGTAGGTATCTCAGAAGCCAAAGAAGAAGAGGATGGTATGGTCAGCTGAGCTAAATGCTGCAGAAAGAGCCATGAGAATGAGGACTGAGAAAAGGCCATGTTGACCTACTTGGAGGTCATGGTAAGCACTGGCAAATGCAGTTTTACTAGAAGGGTGGATGTAAAAGCCTGGGTGCAGAGGGTTGACTGGTGGTATGTCTGTGATGAGGAAATGGAGGGGCACATGTATTCTCTTTCAAGTAGTTTGATGGTGACGTGTGGGAGAAATAAGATGTAATTTAAAAAGATAACTGGGTGGAGAGAAGACTTTTTTTTTCAAAAAAGAGTTTTGAGCCTATTTAGGGCAAAAGATAGAAAGAGATGAAGAAGAAAAAAGGAGAGGCTGGGACAGGGTGCCAGGGGAGATGTTTAGTGGAGAACTGGAAATGAGAAGATTTGAGCAACTCTGCTAAGGCCTCTAGTGCTTCCTTGAGGGAGCTTTCAAGATCCTGAAGAGTCACATTTCATCCAGCGCTAAAAGAGACTCACCTTCTGTCCACCCCTGTGCATGCAGGTGTAGCTGTGAGAGAGCACACAGAGTATTAGTCACAATGTTTTCCATGATAGATGGGTGAGTGATAGATACCCAACCCGAAGTAGCTTAAGTAAAGAGTGGGATACTACCACTTTGTTACTGAGAGTTCAAGTGGATGAGTCCTAAGGCACGCTAGATCCAGAGATTCAAAATGTCATATCTTCCCTTCCTTTCTTTTCCCTTTTCTTCCCTTTCTTTCTTTTCCCTTTTCTTCCCTTTCTTTCTTTTCCCTTTTCTTCCTTTCCTTCCCTTTTCTTCCTTCCCTTCCCTTCCCTTCCCTTTTCTCCCTTCCCTTCCCTTTTCTCCCTTCCCTTCCCTTCCCTTCCCTTCCCTTCCCTTCCCTTCCCTTCCCTTCCCTTCCCTTCCCTTCCCTTCCCTTCCCTTCCCTTCCCTTCCCTTCCCTTCCCTTCCCTTCCCTCCCCTCCCCTCCCCTACCCTTCTCCTTCCCCTTCCCTTCCCTTCCCCTTCCCTTCCCCTTCCCCTTCCCTTTCCCCTTCCCTCCGCCTCCTTCAGCAATGCCTGCTTTTAGTCTTAGCCAGGATAGCCATTGGCAGTCTCATACCTACATAAGCATTGGTGCCTAAGCCTGAAGAAAGAAAGAAGGGTCAGTCAAGAAGAGCCAGGGAAGGAGCTATTTCAGGGGAATAGCATGCTTGAAGGCCTAGAGGCAAGAAATCGGTCGATGCAGCCAAGGATAAGAAAGGAAGCTGGACTGAACCAAGCAAGAGGAGGAGGGCTATAGATGATGAGGTTGGAGAAGTGGATGGAGGCCAGTTCATGGGCAGCCCTGCGGTCCCCAGAAGGAGATGGAATGTTATTCTCGGTGCAATGGGAAGACATTAAAGGTTCTAAGCAGGGCAGTGGCATATTCTGGTTTACATGAAAAGATCACTCAGGTTCAATGGTTCTCAACCTGGAGATGGGGTGAGGTGGAGTGGGGCAGCATCACCTGCCCCTCACAGAGATGTTTGGAAGTAAGTGGAGGCATTCACTTGGGATGCTACTAGGCAGAGGCTAGGGATGCTAAACATTCTGCAATGAGTGGGACAACCCAACCAATGAAGTCCCAACAATGAACAATGATTAATTGATGCTCCAAATGCTAGTAGGTTTCACCTTTTCATCGCTGTAAGGAAAATGGATTGTAGCTGGGCAAGGGTAGCCATAGGATAGGAGGTGACTGGAGCTTTCTAGGGGAGAGATAAATGTACTTAGACCAGAGTAGTGGAATTCAGATGTAGTAAAACAAGGATATAATTTGCAGATAGAACTCCTAGGACCTACTGATGGATTTGATGTGGGGGTGAGAAAGAGAAAGGAGAAGAAGAAACTGGATGTGTGGCTTTGCTAACTGGGTAGATGGTGGTGACATTTACTGAGGCAGAGGGCAGTGGTTCATTTCATTTGAGTTACCTCAACTTCTCTTCTTTTTATCTTGAAATTGTGCAGTTTATTTTTCTATGTCAGGCTAACCCATGCTTCTTAAGGAGGCAGTGAATCAGATAGACCTGCATGACCTGTGCCAAGTTGCTTTACCTTTCAATTCTCATTGCCCTCATTATACAACCAGGTGTAAACAACAGCCCAGCATGAGATGCTAGAAGTAGATGCTTGGAACCTTCTTGACACATTTAGGTCCATTGTAACTGTTTTCCCCCTTTGCTTCTTCTTCCTGTCCTCTGAACTTGGTGTCTTTAGAAGATTATGTTTTTTACCTTCTCTTAAATATGTACTCTCTGCTTGGCAAGTTGATCCTCTCTCATGATTTAAATTCTTAGACTTACCCAGATAACTTCCAACTCTACAGCTCCAGTTTGGGCTTCTGTTTTGAATTCCAAATCCTGTCTCCAGGATCTCCTCACTTGAATTTACCTAGAGCAGTTTTCCATGTGATTTGTGTATCTAAGAGATGCACACCTGAAGACTCATCATTGTTCAAAAGGCACCTATTCTAGAAAAGTTTTTTCCCAAGAATAAACATAAACTAGAGAGGATGACTTATGCACGTGTTAAATTTACTGTGCTAATTGTGCATTTTTGCATTAATGCTGTTCTGTGTTTTCTCAAGTCATTTTTTTTTTTTAATCCTCACCAGAGGATATTTTTCCATATTTTGTACAGATAGAGTGGGAGGGAGAGAGAGGAAGGAGAGAGAGAGAGAAACATCGACGTGAAGGGACACATTGAGTGGCTGCCACCCGCACGACCAACCAGGGCCGGGGACAAACTGCAACTGAAGTACGTGCCCTTAGCAGGAACCGAACCCGGGTCTCTCCGGACCGCAGGCCGACGCTCTAACCACTGAGCCAAACTGGCCAGGGCTCTCAAGTCATTTTTAATGTTTGCAGAGTGCTCTCTCCTAAATTAATAGCGCTGCATATGTCCCATTTACCTGCCTTCTTCGTGGCTTTTTAATCACATCAATCTCATGTTCTAAAGTCATTGAATTTCAGGTATGTTTTTCAATACTTGTACCAATTAATAATATTTGATGGATGTTAGGATAATACAAATATTAATTTCCTAATTGATCATTTTCAATAAACATTGCTAGTTTTGACACACTCCTATCTCTGCATTGGCTTTATTTATTTATTTAATTATTTTAATTTTTTTATTAATTAATTTTTGTTACAGATGTTTCTCCTTTCCCCCCCACTGATTCCTCCTGCATTGGCTTTTTAGGCTATTTTACCACCATCCCTAAAATGTTCATTTTCTTCTGCCACTGGGATGCCCTTTCCCATCCTTGTCATTATTACTGACACCACCAGGGGCTCTCCTACATTCAACTGTGACTTTAGTGTCTCTCCTCT